TTTACTCTAGATTGACGAAGATTTAAAAGAAGAAAATGTGAAACAATTGTTAAATCAAGAAATTGATTTTGACAAACCAGGAAGTGCACAACATTTTTGGAGATTTTTTACTTCATTTGAACAAATCTATTTTTACCGATAATTAAAAAAAAAAAAAAAAAAAAAAAAAAAAAAAAAAAAGAATAAAAAAATAATTACAAAATAAATTTTATTTTTAATGATATTGCAGGAAATATTTTATAGATAAAACTGCATTGCAAAGTCATTTTACAACGAAGGTACATAAACGTAGATTAAAAGCATTGGAATTAGAACCCTACACAATTGAAGATTCTGAAAGGGCTGCTGGCAAAGGAAATTACATACAACCGAAAAAAAGAAAAATAGAAACTTTGACAATAGATAATGAAACTGGCACAATACCAAAAGCTAAGTTAGTAAAAATGGATACTTAAATTTATTATAATAAATCAACATTTTGTTTGTATGATTCTAATGATCATAAAATATTCATTTGAAAAAATTCAACGAGTTATAAATATACATTTTAATTATAATGGCAACTAAATTGTTAATACAACGTATTGTTAATTTAAATCATGGTTTTATAAAAAACGTTTGTTATAAATCATCCAAAAAGTATGTTTCAACGTTGCACGTTTCTGGTAGAAATGCAAACAAAATTTGCGTATTTCTTTCGCCATATTTGGATTTCGATGAACGTTTTAACGACATTGATGGATTGCAAAAAGAAATAAAATTACGTAAACTAAACATGGATCTAATAGAAATGAAAAAGTCATGGGACTTTTATAAATCTATTGAAACGAAGTATTTAACTTTGGAGAATAGAAAAAAAGAGATGTCAAAGATGTTAACATCGTTAATAAACAAAACGGAAAAGACTTCAAATGACGAAGAAGAGTTAGTCAAATTACGTTTACAATTTAAAATGATCATGCAAGATATGAAAACTATCAAAGAAATGTTATGGGATTTGGATGAAACTGTAATAGAAAAATTATTAAAATTACCAAATAAATTGGATGATAGAACACCACCATCAACATCAATGATATTACAAAACGTTGGCAAATCACCAGCCATATTATTGGACAATAATAAAAAGAGTCACATCGAAATTGGAGAAAAACTCGATCTAATTCAATACAAAGATCCGATGAATTATTATTTGTTAAATGATGCGGCCATGTTTGAATTTGAATTATTAAACTTTGCTGGAAAAATGCTTAATGATAATAACATCATGAGAATAACAGGATCAGATTTGTGTCGTAGCGTTTTGGTAGAAGGTTCGGGTTTGAATCATGAGAATCCTTTAGATACATTTATATTAGAAAATGATGACGAATCTGTCATGGATATAAGCAGCCATATGCATTTGGTTGGTGGAACAAGTTTATCATCAATGTTAGGTCTTCACGCTAAACAATTAATCAAATTGGATAATTTACCAATCAAATATTATTCCGTTGGTAGACAATATACACCAGTAGTTTCTAATGAAACAATGTTATCTGGTTTATTTTCCGTTGGTCAAGCATCAACCGTTAATATCTTCTTAATATTAAAAGATTCAATGGAGTGTACAATTGAATTCGACAAAATATTACAAATTATTAACAATTTTTATAATAACATTACAAATCATTACAGAGTTGTTATGCGATCAGCACCAGAATTATTAACGTGCGAACAAATGAGAGTATCCATCGAATTATGGTCACCATATTTTGAACAATACATCGAAGTTGCTAATCTTTCTTTACATGGACAATACTTTAGTAAAAGATTATTAATAGGATATGAAACAACAGATCAAGTTAAAGAATTTGTTTCAATAATATCTGGTACGATGCTTTCCGTACCACGAATAATAGGATGTTTGTTAGAAGAAAATCCTGATAAATTTGTAATACCTTCTAAGATTCTTCAACAATTATCTGATACAATGAACACTGATTAATTCAATTAATAGATAATCATGTTTTTTTTTTTTTTTTTCATTAATTCACACTTTTTACTTCTTAATATCTTACAATTGTAATTAATACGAAATATCATTTCATTTTTATTTTCCCCTGTGTTATATTACACGTCGAAGGGAAATAAATGAGATGTTATGTTCATCAAAATTGAATTAACGTATTAATAAAGCTTATGTATTAATATATATATATATATATATAAAATGGTAATATATTTATAAACGTTTTCAATTAACCTTTGCTTACCACACTTGGTCCGAAAGAATCCCCCCCAGACCTTTGTTTGCAACTTCAGTCATTTTTCTCAATTGTTCAACTTTGATTAATTTTTTAAACATATTTAAATTTAATTTAAAACTATAAAACCTATATAGTCTTTTTAAGTAAGTATTAAAGAAGTCTCCAAAAAAATGTTGAAGTAAATCTATGCAATAGTTTCTTGTTTCTAACGATTTTTCTCGTTCGGGTCCTTTGGACCCCGGGTGTGGTAAACGCGTTACTCCTGGAAGGGTGGTAAACAAAGGTTAAAATTCAGCAGGGCAAATTGTTTAGTGAATAATTCAAGGTAGCAGTCACAATCATCTTTAAAAACAAAATTACGTTTGTTAACCAACCATTCATACAATTATACTTATACATCCTCACGGGTTTCACCAGTTGCTATGGTGCTATATCTAACTCTTTTATTAACAGAATGAATAATTGGTTCAAATTTCTTTTGTAGTTTTAAACGGTACATGTAAACGAGAGCACACAATAAAACGACTAAAAGGAACATACAGAAATACAGTGTTATCGAAACAGCTGTTTTGGACAATCTTAATCCAAACGGACAAGGAAGTGTCCCACCATAAATGCTTCTCTCTTTTCCATCTGTAAAACAATAAAATTATCTAAACATTATATTTCACATATGAGATCACATCAATCTTAAAAAAAAAGTCACCTTCAGAACATTGCAAACTGTTCTTATTTCTTACAAAAACTTTGGTCTTGTTCATCCATTCGATAAATGGATTGAGTTTGCACGAACACTCGAATGAATTTTTCGAAAAGTCAACGGTGAACGATTGATTCTGTTTAATAACAGATTCCATAGTACGAATATCGTAATCGGAAACTTTCGTAAATTTATTTCTCTGAAGATCCAAGAAACGTAACTTATGAAGACAGGATAAATTGAAATGCAATCCTGTTAATGCGTTATCACCTAAATGTAAATCCAAAAGGTTTGGTAGATCACAGAAAACGTTTGGATCTTTGAACTCTGATATCTCATTTTGTTCCAAATGCAATTTCATGAGTTGTGTTAGATTGCTGAGGAAACAACAAGGGACTTACTTTTAGTATTTTTCTTTTAGAATAAAATTAATACAAAAAAAAAAAAACAAAATAATGTCTACCTATTGACAAATATATCGTGCAGTGTTGCTGCTAAATCTCTCGGTTGACCATCTTCAAAAGCATCAGTTAAATGTAACTCTAAAAGTGATACGAAATTGGAGAAAACTCTTGGATGACTTTTAGCAGGATCCAATGATAGTTCATTGAAATCAAGAATAAGACGTTCAACACGTTTAACGTGATGATACGTTTTTCCTCGTATTTCTTCTATTTTATTATTGGACATATCGATGACTTTTAAATTAGGTAATCTGTCCAACGTGCCGAATATGTTCCATGGTAATAATTTCAAATAATTACCCGTAAATATTAACACCTGAAATGAAAATGGGATAAAATTGTAAAAGAAGAACAAAAATCAAACAGTTAATAATTAATAATAAATCAATCAATCAATCAATCAAATGAAAATCCCGCAAAGACCTGACCTGTGCGGCATTAGGAAGATGTTCCAATGGCGTTGTATCATTAAATCCAGAATTTGTACAATTGACAACGTATTGATGATGACCGTCATAACACATTCTTGAACAACGGCAAAGATTTTTAAACGCATCACCACAATTGTGAACCGAACTTTCGTTGGTCTCAAGATTATGCCAATTGGGATCATTGCAATCAACTTCTGCACGAGTTTTGATTATCATCGATAGTAATATAACAATTGCTACGTACGAGGACTTCATCTTAATCTTTTACAAAAAAAATATATATACAATAGTTTATTAAAAATCGTTGCTAAAAAAAAAAA